GCAAGAAGTAATTGAATTTGGAACTTTGAAAACCCCACCCACGTTCTATAATATAAAATACAGTCAAGCGGAGCCCTCAACCTCAGTTTATGCGAGGGCCAGTGCCAGTCATCTGTGCCTCCTGGGGAGCCAGTGGACACCCCCACTGGAAGGGCTCGGAGGGAGACGGGGGTCTCTGCGAGTTTCCCCCTTGCTTTCCCTGCCTGTCTCCTGGCACCGCCTGCCAACCTGTGCTGCCCTCCTCTCATGTATCCCCCAGCCCCACCTGCAACCCCCAGCAAGTTAAAAGCCCCTGACAGCCCCCAGCACGCCACCACCGGCAGCACAGCAGGGATAGAGCAGCTTCCAGCTGCTAGCTCCGTGCTGTTGCCGGCACTTTTCTATGGCCTGGGGGAGGCGCGTGCAGAGCAGTGAAGCAGAGCAACCAGGCTGGCCTGGCAGCAGAGTGGAGCAGAGCAGAGGCTCCTGCCGCCACCATGAGGGCAGGGGGCCAACCCCTGTTGCCCCCCCCCCCCCAGTAATCCCTGAGGCTGTGTCCCTCGGGAGAGGGCTTGAGGGAAGAGGTGCAGGGGGTGGGGGAGAGAGGACAGACCAGGGCAAGAAGAAGGGGCAGGGTAAGGGTGGAGCTGGGCTTGGAAGAAGGACATGGGCACAGTCCCCCAGGCCGCAAGGACTCACGTGCCAGCAGTGGTACACAGGCCCCATTGTGAAACGCTTGCGGGCCATGAGTTTGAGACCCCTGATCTAAAGGAATTATCTTTCTCTGCGGCGTAGTTGCATGCAGTGCAGAATAATCTCTGCTAGAAGTGCCCCAGGCAAATGGGAGAATTTAAACATGGCTTGCAGTCATTAAGGAACTCACTGTTTCTCAGATAATGTCCTGATCAGGTTAACAATACACTGGAGAGTGTCACGGGGTTGTGTGCCCATCCCCCTCTAGGGGAGCTGTCGAATCCCTGGGGTTCTTGAAATCCCTAACCCAGTGCGTACAGTAATTCAGCTGCTGTCTTAAACACACGCCCTTCTTGTGGGGGCAGTACAGCCTAGCAGCTGGAGTCAATAGAAGCAGGTGCAAGCCCCGTGGGGTGGGGATTGAGGTGGGAGTAGCGGGACTGGGGCCCTTCCTGCTTCACTGGGTCTCAGCCAAGGACCCTAACAGTGGTGGTACAGTCCACCACTAACTTGGGTGGAGAATCGTTCCGCAACATGCCAAGATCCTCGGGGTTCAACCTCCTGCTCTGGGCTACTTCCTACCTGTCTCCACTGGACTCCATCCAGGGTCCTTCCTCCAGATCCTCTGCAGTGTCTCTGGTGTCTCGCTGGCTGGTCTCAGGTCTGGTCCCACTGGCGGTTCATACCTCCTTCCTCCTCTGCAGCCAGCTCAGACTGAACCTCTCTCCAGGCCTTTATACCTGGGCTGCAGTCTGAGCATGCCCAGCAGGACTGTGGGGGCGGGACTTCCTCAGCCAGGTGAGCCTGGCTTCCCCTGTGCAGGGCTGGTACACCCCGTCACAGGAAGGAAGGATGACCCTGGGACTCTGAAGATCTGGATTCTGTTCCCATTTCGGCCACAGACCTCCTGTGTCACTTTGATCAAGTCACCTGACGTCTCTGCCTCAATCTCTGCCTGTTTTGAACTCCTTGGATGGAAGCAGCTCGAAAAGCCTCAACTATGTTGTTGTTTAAAATATTTCTGCTTATTCAGTACTATCGGTTCTGGCAGATACTGAGCATTATTGGAAACTCAGTGTGCAAAGACTTCGCAAAGTTCCACGGTAGTTTAGAAAACAAACATCATTCATTACACAGTAGAAGGGAATTAGAAGGCTACCAGAGAAAGAGGGCGGGTCTCTGATCTAACAGAAATCAAAATGTAATGCATGTAGTATGAAGAATTAAATGGAAGATTTCAGATGAAAACGGGAAAATGTAGCAGGGAAATAATATCTCAAGGGAAAACAGACACACAAACACACACACACACCCTCTAGTCATAAACAAAAATGGCAGGAAAATAGTTTTTTGCTTTTCTGTAAATTTAGGAGTAAAATTAAATGACTTGTATTTTCTGTTCAGAAGTGACGTTTTTGAAAATACATTTTTTAAAAGTAGGCTACATCCTGGTGAACTGTAGAGAGGGAAAAATCTCTTCTTGATGTTTCAGAGCCGTGGAGCTCCTGCGCCGCCGAAGAAAACTCCCTCTGAAGAGGAGTTTGAAACCATTAAGCTAATCAGCAACGGAGCGTATGGGTAAGCTTTTCAGGTTGTCTGCTAGCATATTGCTTTTCAAGATGATGTTGTCATCAAGCCACCTGACAAAGAATTAGGCCTTTCAGACTGTTATTCTTGATCTGCCCTGGCCATCTGCTTTTGCTAATATTATACTACAGTTTTGACCTCAAGCCCTATTATGCTTGCTAAGTTTGCCTTTGCAGTATGTGGATATAATTAAACATACTAATATACACAAGGTCAATGTGACATTGGAGAGGTCACAATTGAGGTATGACAGTTGAGCATTATTCAGGGAAATTATCTTTGTGTAATGTTGTTTAGTTTACATTTTAGTATTTCTCAAAAACAAGAGTATAACAGTAAAATGCATTTGTTTGTTAGCACTACGTACTCAGACACAAGTTAGACACTTATTAATACCGGACGTCAAAGCGTAATTCCCCTGTGAAGAGCTGCTGTGTGAAAACGTCCTAATGTTTCATTGTGCCCTAAGGAGTGCAGAAGAGTCGCTCAGTTTACAAGTTAAAATACCAACTGCCAGCCCCACAAATAGAACCCAGAATGTGAAATTTGAGATCATACATTTCATTGATAAATATAATAGCAGGGATGTGATGTACTTAGACTTTTGTAAGGCACTTGACTTGGCACCCCATGACACTTGGATTTAAAAACTAGAAAGATCTCGTAAGGTGACACACATTGCATGGATGAAAAGCTGTCTGTAATTGTGAGGGAGGAATCATCATCGAATGTGGTTTCTAGAGCAGGGTTGAGCGTAACTGTTACTGCCGTGTGGGAGGGGGAGTGGCCATTGGTGGTGAATGCGCTCCTTTCTCCTTCGTGTCTCCCCCAAGTGCAGAGGAGGGAGGGAGATGCCTCCTGCTCCGCCTCCTCCTGCCACACCTCTGCCGCCATGGCTGCCAGAACTGAGCTGCCCCA